ACCATCAATTTGTTTCATATTCATAATATAGTGTCTTCACTTATTTCTCACTTTGTTTTATTTCCTTTCTGATGACGTGGAACTCCACCTTGGATGATAGGTTTCTTCAAGGCAAAAAACCATGTCCTACATTGCATATGAATAGAGTATATGCTGCTGTTTTGGTCGATGATGATGGCGAAGCTTACATAAGTGCAACGACAATATAAATAAACAATTTCAAAGCAAATCAACGTTTTCTTGGACACTGACTAGATTTCGAACAATTATTATATTTTTAGTGATAGATAGAATGAGGGAAATAGCAACCTCACCTAACTTTTCTTGACTTTACCTACTCATTTAAGTTAGTCCCCGGAACCTACCACGAAGTATTCGTTTTTTCATCGAGTCTTCGATCTCCGGCGTTGTCCCCTCTCTCTTTCTCTTGATAATGTCTATTTGGTAAGGCAAAAATGGCCAATAGTAACCCTAAGACAAAATGGAAGAGAACTACAATAAGTAAGGCATATTTCATGATTCCCTCTCTTCTATTTGTAAATACTAAGAGATGTATTTATCACTTTTGTTTTTTAGTTCCCCATCTACCCTTTGAATCATTATTTATAAATCTACCACTACCATTATATGTATTCAAATTCATATGCATAAAACAACTTTTTCATTGACAGGTATGGGTGCGTTTGGTTTGGCTTTGGGAGAATGTATATGGGAAAATGCAAATACCTTAGGGCTAAAGGAGTTTTCCAAAATGCAAGTAACGTTTGATAAAGTGTAATATAAAAATATATTGGGAAGCAATTTCGATTCAAACGCCGTTCAATAAAAGCCACACTTTTGTAAAGGACTTTCGCTAGTCTTGGTTCGTCGACGTTCATTTCACATTCATCTCAATTGCTTTGGGCCCAAATCTTGTCCAGAACTCCCCAACCCAAGTATGTAGGCCTTGACCTAGAGGGACCGAAACGTAGTTGGAGTGTGTTGGGCATTGATCGAGACGGTCCAAACTCTTGACCCAGAGAGCTGTGATAGCCCAAGTAGACTATAGAAAATATACTTGGGAGGTCGAATGTATAGAATATAAAAATAATAAAAAATTGAAGAGCCATCAATTCTACAACGCTATGGTCCTCCCATAGGCAAAGACAACAACGTCATCCATCACTTAGGTTTTATATTCTCAAGGTGATGCCAAAGAGTGGGAAAATAACTAGCTTTTTGTATACGATCCGAATTTGTCCGATTCGAGTAGCACGATTTAACATCAAGCCCGGCCTATCAACAAAAGTTAAAATTCTCCCATTGTTCGATTATTATACCAAAACCATATTTTCAATTAAGGGATCAATACGCCTTCTTTAACTTAGGTTAGTTCTTCTTTTTAGGTTCTTGCAACTCAGTCTAATTTAAACATTCAAGGATAATTGCCCAAAAAGTCCTAAACCTTTCAATTGTGACAACTTAATTATAAACCTTTTGACGATTTGTCAATTTAGTCCTAAAACTTTCAATTGTGTCAATTTAGTCCTAAACCTTTTGAAGATTTGCCACGATAGTCCTAAACCTGTTATTTGGATAATTGGCTGAAAGAATTATACTGGCAAATCGTGAAAAGGTTTAAGATTAAATTGGCACAATTAAGAGGTATAGGACCGAATTGTCAAATCGTCAAATGACTTCGGACACAATTAGCATAATTGAAAGGTTTAGAACTGAATTGGCTGCCGTATAATAGGTTTATGACTCTTTAGATAATTTTTCCTAAACATTTATGTCTATCTCTCCTCTTTCTCTTATACTAGCTTTACTCACACACCCAAGGCGGTACGTGGAAATTTTATTAGTCTTCGAAATTGATTTCTTCTTCTAGTTGCAAATTATATATACAATACAAATATAGCTAAGTCTATTCGATTTTCCTTTTTAATGGTTTTTAAGAGTATGTGGAAATTTTATTAGTCTTAGAAATTAATTTCTTCTTCTAGTTGTCAATTTATATATACAACACAAATATAGATAAGTCTATTCGATTTTCCTTTTTAACAGTTTTAATTAGAATGAGAAAATTAAAATGATAGCACTAGTGGTGATTATGGCCCCGTTTGGTTCGACTTTGGGGATGTCCTTGGGGAAATGCAAAGACCTTGGGTTAAAAGGGTTTCTGAAATGCAAATGGTGTTTGGTAAAGTGTATTTTAAAAACACATTGGGAAACCGCGTTAACATAAATGTTGTTTGGTAAAAACTACACTTTGTAAAGAACTTTCGCTAATCTTTTTTTAAAAAAAAATCTCAAACTATTTACCAACGGGACTCAGTCGCCGGCAAATCTAGTTGCCTGGGGCAAGGGTGGCGGTGGCTCGTCGGTGGCTGAGGCCTTCGCTACCAAGTTAGTGTTTTCAAGGACATTTCCAGAATTATGAAAATTGAGCGAGGGTAAAGTTGGAAGAAAAAAAAAGTATATTTGAATTTTAAGAATGCTACTTTTCAAAGTATCTCCGGACCTACCTAAGGCAGAAGCCTTTGGAAATGCAAACGCATTTTCCCAAAATTCTCCAAAAAAAGAATCAAATGCCATTTGCATTTAGTCAATGGACTTTAGAGTCCCAAAATCCATTTCAGATGCTAAACCAAACAGGCCCTATATTGATGAGGGCCTTCTCAATTTCATTGTAAGCATCTCAAAGCATACTTCAAAGCCAAAACCTTTGCGTGCGCTCTCTCTCTCTGTTAATGAGTCCAAAGCCTCAACTCCAATTTATCATCATGACAATGTCTCTTTAATCTTACTGATAAACTAATAGCAAAGGGCTCTTTCCTTTTACCTTTGGATGGCATTAATTATCTAAATCCCATGATCATAGATTGGCCGTAATTTGCTGTCCATGATGGGTGTTGTTAACCTCCTTTTGCAGATTTAGTTAATGCCGCTAAATCCTTCAATGGCTTATTTTATCGTTATTTTGAGGGAGCCATTCGTGCAAAGCTTGCCCTAGAGTAGCTTTGTGTTTCCATTGCAATCATGAAATCAAGCGAAATGCATGCTTGCGCAACATCATTATGCCAGAAGGAAAAAATCAAAGAAGATTTTTATTAAAAACACCGTAAGTGAAAAGAAAGATAATTTATTGAATCAGTGAGATGATAAATGTGCACTTGAAGAAGATAAGATGGGAATCATAAAATCTAGCAAACATCGCTAATGAGATCGATTTTTTTTTCCGCCGTCGCTGTTTTAAATAAGATTTAAAAGAAGAAATTAATTCAAGAGTTTAAGGAGTACATAAAATATTTGTGCAGAGAAGTTTGGGGGAAATGATGTCAGTGAAAATGGGACCAGAATGGATGCATGGATGAGGTTTGACTTCTCGTGACGATGCTTTCATGTGATATAATGATTAAGGAAAGCAACAAAGAAGTTACGTCGATTTAATTAAGAAAAGCATGATAAAGACCCTCCTTTAAAATCAAAGCGTCTCATTAAAGTCCAAATAGCTAAATTTATACACGATTAGATGTCCATCTCGGGCACACTGATTATGTCATTAACAAGAGAGGACAGCATAAACTCCATGAACCCCATAAGACTAAGTAGCAAATATTCTCGTGAAAATTAATGTGACCAAGATTCGACTGCCACTAATTTCAAGAAGAGTATGTATGCTTGGGGACCTTTTTTATTGAGGTTAACCATAACCCTATCTTTCTAGGCCATGGGGTATCTTAAAATAATTGCCCATTGGGCTTCGGCTTCCCCCAAAGTCCTATGCTAATAAATGCTTAAATTATGTCATTGAAACAAGACATCATGTCATGTATTTACCCTAGGAAGAAAGAGAGTGAGAGAGAGAGAGAGAGATAGAGAGAGAATGGGTAATGGTGTATGAGAGAGTCATCTTTCTCTTTCATTTTATGTTTTTTTAGGGTTTTTCTTAGTGCTAGACACCCATTTTGGCCATGGTAATCACTGCTTTTAGTGGGGAGCAACATACAAGAGTGGGGACTTTTGATTCCCCCTTTGTTTAAAGAGGGGGAGAGGAGGGAAAAGGGTCAGCTTTTCTCGTTGACTTGCCCCAGAAAGTCTGGCAAATTTAGAGGGCAAGTATAAAGGGAATCCTATCGCCCTGCAAAAGGACTCCATGAAAGGATTCTCTCATACATGGTGGTGGATCTGCACTCACTCATTCATGTGAAAAAGCTCTCCCTCCCTCTCTCTCTCTCTCTCTCCCTCTCTCAATCGAAGCTAGCCATCAGGCATGTATGCTCGCAAAAGGGGAGAGGGGAAAGAAAAATTGAAGGAAAAGGTCACTTTCTTGGTTCCATGCTGATGTTATTTTGTGGGGGAGAGGAATAACTTTTGCATCCAAAAAGATGGAGCATTTTTCTCTCACTCTCTCCCTCCCCTTTAAAAGATGGGGTTTTTTAGGAGAGAGTAAAGTGGTGGGAATAGGGAACTCCACTCAAAGTTTGGAGATCATTATCATGATATACAGTCTCTTTCTCCTTTACAATCCATGATTAGGGTTTTAGGGTTTTAGATTCATTCTATTAAATGAACATTAATATTAATTGCAATTATCTGAAATGAGTCTTACAAAATAATTTTACCACTTTTTTTCGTGCAATTCCAAGTCGTCTCAATGCAATGTTCACATGTGTACCGATCTTTAGAGCCAAAAGGAAAAAAGATCGTAGGTATTGTAGCTCTCTCAATTCTTTAGATGAATTAATCCCCTCCATCCTCTAAGATCAAAATTCAAACTCTTTCAAAACCTATATCCTATCATCATTTCATGTCGGTTATCCGAGTATTCTCCCATGCGTCATTGTTAGACTGGCTTAAATTTGGTCTAATATGGAATTTCGATTCTTATGCAAAGCTTGCCAAACATATCGAATCATGTCGATTTGAAACTATTACGTTCGTGTTACGATATCTAGTAGATTTCTGCCACTTCTCGTTTCATGACGTGCTTCGAATCGTGTTCCTGTATGGGACCTACGTCAAAGATTGGCATTGCCACCAATTGGCTGACGACAAGACGCTCATGTTCCTCCAAGGAAGATAGTGCATTAATTCTCAACGCATAAAAAGAAGATTTGCTGATGGGGCATGGTGATTAAGATTCTTGATTGATCCAATACCAGTGCAAAAATCACTTGATGCCCTAACAGACCAGTAGAAGACATCTTAAATGGAGAAGAGGCCCTCCCCAAAAAAAAAAACAGACAAATTGTTCCTCCACTCATTCATGCGATGGGCTTCCAGAAGTGCCTCTCTCCAATTTTTCAGTGCCACGCCCCAAAGAAAAGTACTATGTTCTACTTGTCATGGAATGAGAGAGGAAATTGGTTCTTGTTTGTCCATGAAAACAAAGCAAAGCAAAGCAAAATCTAGGTGTCCTATTAACCCATCCTTTGTTTTATTTTTATTTCTTTTTTCCTGATGTTACAACCTGGACCCAAATGAACAGGTGCATTGACTTTTCTTTCATGGGTTGGTGAATTTAGCACGATTTTAGTGGTCCATTTAGGGCATGCATCATGCAAGTGGCCTCTCTTTCTTCGTTCCAACTCAGTTCGTCCTTTTTTACAGCTTTGGAACCACTATACCTTTCACTCTTTTGGATCGATTCACCTCATACTCCACCACCACAACTGGTCCTTGTGGTATTTGTATGGAAGATTGTAAAGCCGACACCAATTCAATGTTTCTCTGCTTTTATCTTTACATTGTTTGTACCTTTTGCTATGTATATGTTGGGGGCAAAACTTAATCACAACCCTAGTTTCATGTGTACCTTTGCCCCAGGAATCTTCATAAATACAAACTATATAAAGACACAAAGAAGAAAAGAGGAACACGCCCTTGTCTGGCCAGTTAATTATAAAATAACGGTTATATTAACTCAATCCACCGAATTCGGATGTACGCGAATTTTAAACGGACAAAACATCATCGATTGCTTTCATTCTCATTTTATTTTTGTGGATATAAGGTTTCTTGTCCTGAGTGAAGGAGAAAAAAGTGCTTTCATTTGTTTTCCTTTATGAGGGTAAAAGCTCGGTTTATCCTTGACGGAGAGAGTTAAAAAGCTCGGTTTATCCTTGGCAAAAGGGGAGCCATTATTATTCAAAACCAAAGCATGTCTTGTTCAAACTACATCCACTTTTCATGGTCTAACCAAAGCATTACAAGCAACCAGCTCATCCCAAAAGTCAATGATCATGAATTAGCCGAGATGCAAATCAAGTCTAATCAAGTTTCTCTACCTTATATGACTACATGAAACAAGGAAGCAAAACCATTTCAAATAGTAAGTCATGAAGCAAATTCAAGCAGTATAAATGAATATAGACCATGTCTCTCATTTGATATTTAATTAGTGGCGTATCCATATGTCAAACCTCGCAAGAGTAGAGCTAAGTAATCACCTTCACATTCTCTTAAAAATTGTCCCAAGTTTAGCAATTTCCATACCGTTCAAAATTATTGAAGATTCAACCATCAGCCCACCATTTCTCTCCATCAATCTTCCTTATTTTTTCAACAATTTCAATGCCATTACAGCGCAACTTATTGCTAGTTCTTCTCCTTCTAGAAAGCAGAACTTTTAAACTCCTCGAAATGGTTCCTTGATCGAAGCCGACCGCGGCAGATACGCATAGCTTGAGCAAAAATACGTGCAGGCAAGATTGTACCAAGTCAAGTCAAGAATCTGTGCAGAGAGATCCACGTGGGAGATTTTTCGTGGACAAAGACAAACGTTAGAGGTCGGACCAGCCGAACCTAAACCAGTCAAACGAAAATAATGGTAGGCGAATGAAATTCAACGATTAGGAACTTATCAACATAGAGAAGATGCATAACCGCCAAAATTTGACTATTGAACATCGACATTTATGTTTTTTTAGGGTTCATTGAGATTGACCAAGGCTTTGTTTTTTTTTTTTGCATGATTCCACCTTCTCTCTCTTCTCTCTCTTCTCTGGTAAAAGGGCATAATTCTTCATTCATGGTCGGTCTCTATCTCAATGGGTAGATTGTTTACTATCGGTGCCGGCCGGCTGCGTCAAGATTTTTTCTTTAATAATGCCATAGTTAGGCATGCTACCAAGTTTGGATAAACTTTTCTTATTCGACTGGTGACAAGAAAACCAAGAACGCATTTCATTGGTCGCTGTCACACCCTCAAGCCAGAGAATAAGGAATCCCGATTTCATGTAATTGAATTGATACCAATCAAGTAAAACCACCATAAAGATGGAATTCACTGTCAACCCCATGAAAAATCCCTATTAAAAAGTAGGGATGAGCGGTTTAAGGGTCGGTTGAGGTTTCACCTAAAACCTATCCGTCAAAACCGGTTCCCAAGTTTTTAGAACCTGGAACCTATCATGCATACTCTAAAACCCGAAACTTATCATGTCACAAGTTCCAAGATCTACTCATGTTCTACCTATAGTCTTAATTGAACGATTGTAGTGAATTATCACCTCTAAAAATCACCATTTATTACTACAATCCACTGACTACAACTCTTATTTAGATACATAAAGAATATAAAACATTAACAAAATAAAAGTTTTAGTCATGGATATCGCCGAAAATGGAAGCTTAGACTAGTGGTTGTAAATTATACACCATGGAATACCACAAAATTGCGTGAAAATATAAAACAAGAAAAACACAATTACTTGTTCCAGGTTCCACGTCGTGAAACCTGCCCGTTAGAATCGGTTCCTCAATTTTTGGAACCTGAAACCTACCATGCATACCTAGATTTCTGAAACCAGACTAGTGGAAAACGATCCGATTCCTGATTCTACCCTAAGATCATGCTCACCCCTATTAAAAAGTACAGAGACCTCCTATGTCTTCTACATCATATTCTAACTGACAAGGGCGTCGTCATACTTTTTTCCTCATCAAATGCTCATTTATATTTTGAAAGCAAAATGCTAGAGGTGTAAGAAAATGATCCATGAAAGTGACTTACAAAATTATGTGAATGAAATTCGACATTTGAATCAAATAAATCACTTTTTACATCCGATAAAAATACGTTGCCCCGCTTAGCAAATTATTTTATAACTTAGGCTTAGGTGACCGTGGATAAAAAAAACTTAAAGAACGAAAAAAAGAAGTTAGGAAAAGGGAGTATTTTTAGCAAACAACAAAAGAAAAAGCTAGGAAAAGGAAATACTAAAGAAAGGGGAAAAGGGCCAAAGAAAGAAGGAATAGTAAAATGGCATCGTCCTGTTGATATGATGAACTTAGGTCAGCAGGGTTGACATAGTGAACCGCAAAAACGACTATTGATGTGCACGTGTGGCATGCGTGAAAAATAAAACATAAAATTGATAATGATTACAGAAAAATTGCCAGCCATTGCAATAGAGAAAAAGAAGAAAAATCAAACACTTTGACCCCAAAAACATAAATAAAAGAAGAAAAGTCGAGCAAATGATTCGTCATGATGGAGCCACGTCAGGTCCATTTGGTGCCTCAGTATCTTCTCTCAGTCGTGGATGTAGTGATGACATGGTGCTTTTCTTTCTATGCTGCATATGATGATGCCCTCAAGAATGGGGTTAGGGCATGGTCCATAACTTACATTCCCGTGCTTGTGATTATTGTAATGGTCAAAGATGGAGAGAGGGATTTTGACAGCATTGATTACGAGTATAACTAAGGAGAACGATGTGTGAAATCTTTCTCGACGCTTCTTTATGTCGACACATGCCAATACTTTGAAAGGCTCGTTTTCCAGAGATTTCCTGTGACCGGAAAAAAAATTATGATGACGAGACGAACAAGAAATGTTTCTTGTAATTTCGTTACGTAAAAGAAAGATTTCAGGAGGCTCAGTTACGGAGATTTTAAAGGCCCAAATGAAAAGTTCGTGTAAATACTAATTGAGAGTGATGACTGCATAAATTGTGTCTCTAACAATTCGATAGTCCTAAATCTTTCAATTTGGCAATTTTAGTCCTAAAACCTATTGCACTTATGTCAATTTAGTCATAAACCTTTCAATTGTGCCAATTTAATACTAAATATTTCGACGATTTGCCAATTGAGTCATTCCGGCCAATTTTGGCCGGAAATCATTGGCATGACAATTTAGTCACTGCCAACCATCCTACGTTGCATGGCCGGGCGACCGGCGCTGAGGTGAACAATTCTTTAAATTTTCTAAAATTTTTATTTTTTTATTTTTTTTATTTTTTTTTCTCACCCTGGGCAGCCAAGGTCATTGGCCATAGGCAAGGGCTACAACACCCAGGCCTTGTTGGCCTAAGGTTAGAAAAAAATAATAATGATAAGAATAATTCAAAAAAAAATTAAATGATTGTCCACATCAGCGCTAGTTATGCCATGCAAGACAACTGACGTTGACTAGACCACCAAAATTAATCGAAAGGACTATATTGGCAAGTTGTCAAAAGGTGCATAATTAAAAGGTTTATGACTGAATTTGTATAAATACAATAAATTTATAACTTTTTTTGATCATTTTCCCACTATAATTGAAACGCCCATTTTAACATAGTATGGGATTAGAGAGGGTTTTCATTTGGCTGCACTATGGACGTAGATCTCCTATCCTCATACTAACAAACAAAATCACATTTCATATAGATTAGTCATTATGAGGATTGTGACATCCTATAAAATGAGGATTCTCTGTCCTTATATCATGTCTCTGCCTTGACAAATTTTACCTACGTAACCATTCATTCGCAAATTTCAAACACACATTTTCATGGATCAACGGTTAGGATGATTATGACACCGCATGTTACTATGAACGGATATAGATGATATACTATCTGGTTCAGCGAATGGTTGTAAAGCACCATGTGTCTTCGTATATTTTATATTTAGCCTTACAATATAGAGCTTTTAATAAATATCACAAAAGTTCATGCCCTATTATAGGTCGTCTCTTGATGTAGAGTAATCTAGCTACACTAGAGTAGAGTGACTAAATGTTAAATGAAACCACAAGATAATTATTACTATATTTGATTTTTGAGATGATCATTAGCCTAACTCAAATGACGAATTTAATTTGACAAACATCACAGTTGATATAATAAATGGCAAGGAGTCAAATTTTCCATTGTGGAAATCTTCACCATGGAAAACATAGCATTGATAGTTCAACAAAGGAGGCACATTCCCTAATAGCTTAAAAGGAATACGCCGCATGTTTAGATTATGAGCCCTGAGTGGATCTAAACTTGACAATACGACTCCTATGTATACGCATGAATTCTAATGTCATGCTCTTTCTAAGTTCTTTCGATCAAATTTCATCACTAAAGAGACGTTTTTCGAAATCATCGCCCTTATCTAATCTACTTCCATTCCGTCCTTAGATTGTTTGACTTACTATTTATATAGATAAGTACCCACTCTTGTTAAGATGCGAATACCATGAGCCAAACAATAAAAAAGAGACAGAAAAAAAAAAAGGAATCGCTTTTGAAAATGTCATTTCTTGGGATGATTGCTCTTGTATGGTAATATTTGTCCTCCTTCACTTTGGACAAATCAGAAACGAGCTTAGCAGTGCGCCATCTTGCTGTCAAATCCCACGTACCTCTTTACCAAAATAATTGACTTTCTTTTAGGTGAAACAGCACATCCTATGGACAGATACTGTTGTTTTTTTAACACTGTGTCGGCTCTCGGGAAGTCAAACGGCTAGGGTTATTAGG